CCACCTCGATGGAACACTCGCTTGATCATCTTTTTCCTTCTTTGTCGTCCTGTTCTTCACCAGCATCGTCTACTAAGCCCATTTTCTTTTCTTTTCTTTTCTTTTTTTTTTTTTTTTTTTTTTTTTTTTTTTTTTTTTTTTTTTTTTTAATTGTGTTTGCTAGATCTCTATCATCTATGTATTGAACTCCATAGGACGAACAAACCGACGACAAACCTTCAGCTTTGATAAACTCTCCACGACGAACTTTTGTCTCTAACAAACTTTGCTGGACAAACCTTCGACTTTGATTCCACTTATTGGGGCAGCGGAAAGCATAACAGCAAAGAATAACAGAACAAACACTATATTAAACGCGGTTCACCTAAAATTTGGGCTACTTCCACGGAGAGAAGAAATTCCACTATCATTAATGAAGAGAATATTACAAGTGTAAAGAATGTCCAGTCACACACTACCTCATGGCATTTTTCGCTTCAATGATCATTAGATATTTTCTTTTTAACTTTTAGCGAGCACTTTTTTTGAACTTCTGAGTGATGTCTAGTTGAATTGATTGACAACAATTTCCCCTTTAAATAATTCATTCTTACCTGATAAATGCCATATACATCAAGTATGTTTGCACTCTAAATAGAAAGAGATTTCGGCTGGAAATGCAAATGGGCTCATATGTTGGTAGTTTCTGATATAAGATGCCAGAAACGAAACCAGACCCATAACTGATTACTTGATCTCTTGCCAACTACATCCACTTTTATGAAATTGAGATGTTTTCAAAGTCAACAAAAGTGAAGGCTCCATAGGTGATGTAGGACACAAACAGCCTCAAATAGTTGAAAACAAATAAGAGTTATGGCTGAAATTTGAAATGAACAGGATTGGGGTTCAAGTTGTGTTAGTAGAAACTAGAAAGAAAGGATTTGAAAATAACAAAGGAGCCTATTGGAATCACACCAATAGGTCTTGGCATCGCACCTGGGGAAGTCCTCACACCCTCCTATCTCGTGAGTAGTGAATCACTCGCAAAGAAAGTTCAAGACAATTTTATTCACTCATGGACTTTGACTTTTGGATTACCCCATTATTGGATTGCCCTACAATTGAGGTAATCTATACTTACCTAATAGCACAATTGGAATAAATAAAAGTTGACCAAAGCTCCGAATCATTTAAAACATGGGGCCCATATTATCTAGCCTATGTCAGCTCAAGTCTTAGAATCTTCCGTTTTGCGATTCTGCCATTGATCTACATCAATTCTCCCAGGCTTAGAAAAACTCGACCCCAACGAGTTAAAGGGATGAAATTGCTCATAAATGTTGGGAGGTAGGTATTAGAAGTCATTATCAACAACCCTAGTACAATAAAAAAGTGGACAGCTATGCTTGGAAAGATGAAGGCCCTTGAGAAAAATCGTACTTGGGATATTGTTTCATTACATAGGGGTAAGAAACTAGTAGGCTGAAAATGGGTCTACACAATAAAGTATTATGTAGACGGAACAATTGAGAGATACAAAGCCCGGTTAGCTGTAAAGTGCTTCACTCCGACCTATGAAATTGGTTATCTGGAAACATTTGCTCCAGTTGCCAAGATGAACTCTATATGTGTCATTTTTTCTTTGGCAGCTAATTTGAATTGGCCTTTACATCAGTTGGATGTAAAGAATGCTTTCCTTCATGGTGACTTGGAGGAAGAGGTGTATATGACTATGCCACCAGGTTTAAGCTTGCCAATGGTTAAAATTTAGTGTGTGAGCTAAATAAAACCTTACATGGATTAAAATAGTCGCCACGTGCTTGGTTTGAGAGGTTCAACACTACTGTGAGAAGAGTAGGGTACAGATAGAGTCAGACAGATCATACTTTATTGTATATGTGGATGATATTGTTATCACTAGAAATGATCTAGAAAAGATTCACCGAATGAAGTCATTCTTGGTGATAGAGTTCGTGGTTAAAAACCTCGGATCATTGAGATACTTTCTTGGCGTTGAGATGTGTAGATCGAAGAAAGGGATGTTCATTTCGCAACGGAAGTATGTGTTAGATTTGTTGGCTGAAACAGATAGGCTTGGAGCTAGACCTATTGATATTCCCATTGAGCAGAACTAGAGGCTTAATGATGTGGGAAGATTTCAGTGATTGGTTAGGAAACTGATTTACCTATCTCTCATACACCCGGATATTGCCTACGCTGTTAGTGTGTTTAGTCAATTTTTGCATGCCCCACATACACCTCACCTTGAGGTAGCTCATCATGTTCTTTGCTACCTCTAGGTTCACCTGGTAAGGGGATATTGTTTGGCCGTCATGGCCACTTACGTGTTGAAGCCTATACTGATGCTGATTGGGCAGGATATGTGACAGATCGACGATCTACTTTAGGATATTGCACATTTGTTGGAGGTAATCTTGTTTCATGGTGAAGCAAGAAACAATCTGTAGTAGCTAGATCTAGTCCAGAGGTTGATTTTAGATCCATGGCATATGGAGTTTGTGAGTTGTTATGGCTACGAACTATGTTGGGTGAGTTGGGTTATCTTGTTCGCGAGTCAGTGAAATTGTATTGTGACAACAAGGCTACTATTAGCATTGCCCACAATCCAGCTCAACATGACAGGACAAAGCACATTGAAGTTGATCGATACTTCATCAAGGAAAATCTTCGCCTTGAGCTGATTTGTACTCCAAACATCAACACATTAGGTTGCTGATGTTTTGAGTAAGGGTGTTAATCACACCAATAGGTTTAGGCATCACACATAGGGAAGGCCTCACACCCTCATATCTTGTGAATCACTCATAAAGAAAGTTAAAGACAATTTTATTCACTCATGGACTTGGTAATCAAAGTTACACACTATCCTTTTTTATAACAACTGATGGCCCTTGGATTATCCCATAATTTAGGTAATCAATATTTGACTCTAAGATTATCCCATAATTAAGGCAATCAATATTTGACTTTCGGATTGCCCTATAATTGAGGCAATAAATACTTATCTAATAGCATAATAAGGGTAAATAAAAATTCACCAAAGCTCCCAATTATTCAAAACTCCTTGAGGACCCATATTTATTTAGCCTATGGCAGCTCGAGTCTTAGAATGCTTAGTTTTGCGCCTTTTATACACCTTTAAAGAATCCTACGATTGATCTCCATCCATAGGTTTACCAATGTTATTTGTTCAACTGCATCCAAAGGATGTTTTATGTGTAGGAAACTTTTAGGTTTCTTTTCTTTCCATGCATCTTAAGAGTAAGATGACTACAAAATGTATGCTCTTCTCGCCTATGTTTCACAATACCTGAAGTTCCACACATCGTTAATACGTGTTGCAAGTTTACATGGTTGTTAGAACTCTCCAAATGTTTTAAGAGATTTATTTGCATTAAGGTGCCAGTTGAGTCAAAGGGCCCTTTGGGTAATGGCTAATGGATTGGGTGGAGCATTCAAAATTCTTGGGCAATGTTGAAGTTTGGTCAAGTCTTAACATTTTTTTTTTTAACTATTTTTATCTAGGTCATTGAACAAATGGATTCTTCATTCTTGTCACTGGGGTCGAATACAATACCAAATTTTCGCCACTGTGATGGCACCAAGCCACCAAGCCAGCCCCCAACCACCCTGAATTGGTCTCAGCCACAATGCCCTTGGTGCCTATGATGCATCACCAAGTCACACTCCAATAGGTTAAGCAAGAATGAAAGAACCCACACACAACAATTTACAGAAGCCTTACAACTTGTAACGTTTACTATATTCTCAAAATGGTACAAGGAACTGGCTTATATCTGCAGCACACTTACAATTCACACACTGCTAAGTCAGCCAACACCCTTGGTGCCTAGGATGCACACCAAGTCTCATTCGAACAGCAACACAGGTGAAACATGAATGAAAGAACCAATACACAACAATTTACAATATCCTTGCAACTTCCAACCTTTACTATATTCTCAAAATAGTACAAGGAAATGGTCTATATCTCCAGCACGCTTACAATACACACACTGCACCCACTCACATCCTCTAATGCAGGTCCTCAACCTTCTAGTGGGTTGACACGAATATCCTCGTCTGTACTAGAACCTTCTCCCTGATATTCTTCCGCGATCATGGCACTAAGCTTTTGGGCCAGTGAGCAAGTGCCTGACCTATTATAGTGGTATCATAGACAGACCCAGTCCAACAATCCTTAATCCGTCAAGCACCTGGTTAGAAGGAGTCTGGGCCCAGGTCAATCAGACCGCAATGAGGGTGTTTCGAGTTCGGGTGGGAAAAAATGTTAGAGGTCCTCAGATCTGGATGGGAAAGTTAACAAGTGTATATAGTTGGTATGCAACCTTACCCACCAACTCAAGGTTTTTGGTTCCAACCCGTTACGAGTACTTAATAGCTTAAGCTTTTTGGTCAGTAGGCTAGCGCCAGCCCCTTACAGTATATTTGTAGCTATTGTAATCTATACTAATGACTCAGGTGTATTGGATCCACACCAGCTATTCCTGCTTGCTTGCATATGCTCAAATGCAATTATGTTAAATTCAGTTGTTCTATTTTTTATTTTGGCAGTGGTCCGATATCCAAGAACTCTCTCCTCAAAGGAGAGGAGTGTAGTTTTAGTTTGAGCCTCACATGGAATAATGTGGTGTGTGTGAGTGTGCATGTGTTGCTTACCTACGAACAAAATAATAGTGATTTTAATACATAATTGGATTGAGCATCTGCTAGCAGACAATATAGCTGGTTCCAATCCAATATAATTGAGTCGCTAGTATAAATTGCAATAGCTACAGGTACATTAATTTTTTTTTTTTTTAATTAATCCTGTGAACCACACACCAAACTTATTGTTTGGGGGCTGATCATGTTTACTGACTTTTGTATTTGCATCTCTTTGTTATCGAAATTGTTACTGTTCCTTGGTGCTATTATTATTGTTTTTGTTATTATGATTATATATTATTTTTATTTTTATTTTTATTTTGTCTTAGATAACGCTAACAATAGAAGTACCATTAGTATTTGCTGAGGACATAGTTGGACTTGCTGGAGCGAATGCTGCTTACATTCATCATACTAGTGGAGCATATTTTGCTGTGTCAGAGAATCCAGACAATGTTGACAAGGTCACGATCGAAATTAGAGGCACCCTTTCACAGGTTAAGAAGGCTGACCAACTTTTATGGGTAAGCTTTCAAATTTTGCATCTCATCCTGCTGCCAGTTGTAGCAATGAAATGGTTTCTGGCACTAGCATCACCTATAATTATTGTTATTATACAGTTCATTAGTATAAAAGGGATTGAGTAACCTGGATCCATTATGATGATTATTTTTTAATTAGACACGGTTACATGTGACAGCTGTCACCATTTGTGACCCTAATCTGTCAACTTCCAGCACCAGGGATTCGTCAATGCATCAGATTAGAGTCCTTTATCCTTTAAAGCACTCCCTAGAAGTAGTGGTTTGTATTGTTAACATAAAATCTAATAGGCAGTAGGGTACAGTTGAGCATCTGTTGGAGACAATTTTATAAATTGAACAGAATTTAGTTTAAGTTTGTCTCTTCAATCCATTAGTGAGGAACTTCCACAACTGGTCGACACCAGAAAAGAAACTTTTGTACTCTCAATTCAACAGACTGTCCTTTCTATTCCTAGTACCTTAATGTATTTCTACTGTATATTTGTGGGACATGATTTGTTTTTGTTGGGAAATAAGAACAATTACCCACTCAGCAAACACATCAATAAGGGGAAACACAACCTGCAATTCACTTAAATAGATCACACGCAAGAGTTATATGTGGTTCACCCAAAAATCAGGGTTACGTCCACGGAGAACAAGATTTCCACTGGATTGTAAAAACTGTACAAAATAATTCAGGATTACATAGATATATCACTCACCACCCTCAACCCTTTTGTACCCCCAATCAGTTACAAGGAAAATCTAAAATCTCTCAACCTCAACCAATCAACCTTCTCCACACAACGTCTGTCCTTTTATATACAATAAAAGTGGTCCTCTTGTATTAAGGTTATAACCCTTTCAAACAAACAATGAAAGTTATCCACCGCCTTGTGCCCATTAGTTATAATGGGTATCACGTGGGTAGATCCCAACAATCGCCCCCTCCACCCACGAGGAAGAGAAATCACTAGCTCCTCCTTCACAAGAGTTCACAAGTCTCAACGCACGAGACTCCTACTTGTAAATCCACAAGCAGTCCATTGGCCTTCTGTAAACCAGCTACACATAACCCGAACCAAGTCCAAACACCTTGATTCAATGGCTAATGCATATGTGCAGCTGAACCAAGTCAACATGATTAAGTGACTCTGAAAGGGTACATCGAAAAGACCCATTCACAAGTAGGAATTTTGAACTCATCATCATTTGTCTGGAAACATGTACATGTTCCCGTTTCTGATCAACAATCGAAGTTCGAGTACCACTGGTACCCCTCACCAAATGATATAAATCACCTCCTTTTTGTCCTTACACCAACACCATGTAGCCCTTTGTAATCTTCATGATTCCCCTTGCAATGGAACACTTGCAATCTATGGAATCAAATTGGCTCAAGGATATCAAATTACACAACAATTTTGGTAGGTAGGCAACGTTCTCTAAAGTGCGTTCCACTCCATCAAACATCTTGATTCTTACTGTTGTACAGTATTGTATGAGTAATCACACGTGTACAGTTAGATTACATTGTATATTAGAGTTTTCTATATTCTGTACCCGCCTTCACCTACCCCACATTACCATATATAGAATTACCTATATATATGGTAATGTATATATATGGGGGTGGGGGGCAGCTTTGTTGAATGGGATGTCATTGATGCAAAAGGGACTTTAGGGGGTATTGCAGTGCTTTGGGACAAGAGATGGGTCTCGAAGATTGATGTGTGGAAAGGGAGATTTTCTATCTCTTTGTTATTTTCTTTGGAGGAGGATGGAACTAACAGGGCCTTTCCAATGGTTTATGGTCTAGTTGGGGATATGGAGAGGAAAGAGTTGTGGGGGGTGTTGGAGGTTTGGAGGAAGATGGTCGGTGCCGTGGTGTGTGTAGTGACTTTAATGTGGTTAAGGGGCCTTTAGAGAGATCCACGGGCGGGAGGGGGGGGGGGGGGAGGAGAACACCAGCAATGATGGAATTCTTTGATTTCATTGAAGCTCAACCATTACATCATCTTCCGATGGAGGGAGCAAGGTTCACATGGTCAAGAGTCACCTACTTTTTCCTGATTGGATAGGTTTTTTATTTCTGGGAAATTGAAGGAGAAGTTTCCGGACGTGGCACAGGTAGCCTTGGCTTGAGTGACTTTAGATCATACTCCCATACTTCTTGATTGTGGGGGTTTGAGGAGAGGGAGAGCCCATTTCGGTTTGAAAATATGTGGCTTAAATCAAATGATTTTAAGGAAAGGGACCAAAGGGTTCAATGTTGGTGGAATGGTTATGTGACTAGGGGAAATCCAAGCTTTCAAATGGCAAGCAAGCTTAGATTATTGAAGGGGGATATTAAGAAATGGAATAAGGAAGTTTTCGGCAATGTGGAATGGCAAAAGAAAAGAATCTGTACGGAATTAAAGGAGCTGGATAGAATTGAGGGGGAAAGGGGTCTCACTGATATGGAAGCTTGCAGGAGGGAGGAATGTAAGGAAGAGTTTGGGGAAATAATTAAACTAAAGGAAATTTCATGGAGATAGAAATCTAAAGCTCTTTGGCTAAAAGAAGGGGATCAAAACACGAAATTCTTTCATCAGACAATGAACTTTAATAGGCGAAACAATCACATTGGCAGGATTTGCATTGATGGGTGTTTGTTGATTAGAGATGAGAAAATTCAAACGGGGATTGTTTCTTATTATCCGCGGTTATTCTCTAAAAATGCTAACTGGAGCCCACTGCTAGGTGGTTGGAGTTTATGGGTATTACAGAGGAGGATAGGGACTGGTTAGAGAGGCCCTTTGGGGAGGAAGAGATACTTGAGGCATTAAAGAGTTGTGGTGGTGACAACTCTCCAGGACCGGAGATTTACGATGGCTTTTTTTCAACAGAACTGGGAAATTGTTAAGGAAGAGGTTATGGAGACTTTTAGAAGGTTTTTTTTCCAAGGCACATTTTGAGAAAAGTTTAAATGCTACATTCATTGGTCTTATACCAAAAAAAGGGGGAGTGATTGAGGCAACGGACTTCAGACCAATTAGCCTGATAAGCGGCATTTATAAGATTATTGCCAAAGTCCTAGCCATTCGGTTGAGGAGAGTTATGGATGCAATAATCTTGGATTCACAAAATGCTTTCGTTGGAGGGCGGCAAATCCTAGACCCTGTACAGGTTGCTAGTGAGTGTATTGAGTCCAGAATTAGGAGCGAAGTGCCAGGGATTGTTTGTTAGTTAGACATTGAGAAGGTTTATGATCATGTCTATTGGAACTTCTTATTGTACATGCTTGAAAGAATGGGGTTTAGGGGTGGAGGAACTAGATTCAACAATGTATATCGACTGTTCGGTTTTCAATTCTTTTGAATGGTTCCCCAGCTGGTTTTTTTTCTAGCACTTGTAGTCTGCATCAGGGAGATCATTTGTCTTTTTTCTTGCTTCTCATTGTTATGGAGGCTTATAGTATAATGATGAAGAGGGCGGAATAGCTGGGAATGATTAGAGGTTTTGCTGTGGGCAGAATTCCAAATGAATTGTTGATCTCACATTTGCTTTTTGCAAATGATACCATTGTTTTATGTGATTCGGGGGAGGGGTGAATTGGTCTAAGTAAATTCTCTTTTCAATCCTTGGGTAGATATATGGTACACAGAAGATTTCAACAATGTGGTCAACCAATTCATAACCATTCCACAAGAACACAAGCTATGCAAGGAAAACCCTCTCAATAGGGAAAAACCTTGTTTCTTGACCTCAACCAATAAATGCCTCCACTGTATGCAAGTAGTTACACGCTCAACTATCTCACACTCTGCACACACCCGTGCACAAGTTGAAACACTAGTTTTCATAGCCTCTACACACACACTAGCTCCACTAAGTGCGCTCTGCACTCCCCCTGTCCACAACACCATTGCTTGGACCTCAAGAGCTCTCACAACTCACCAAATACAAGAAAGTATATGTATCAGCATAGTACAATAGCTGTTACAAAAGATAAGATTCAGAACACAGCTCAATGTACACAAAACTAGAAACCCTAGTTTACAAAGTTCTGCAAATGGTGGGATATAATTGTCAATCTTTACTGCAGCTTCAATGGTAGCTCGCACTAGGTTTCCTCAGCCTTATGTCAACAAGATATGCTTGCTTAAAACAATAGAAGTCAATGTATAACCAACACAATACAGATCACAGCTCACACAAGCTTCAAACTAAATACCATGAACACACCAAGATATGAAAGTATTAGTGCACACGACCTTGATTTCTGCAGTAAAACCCTAGTTGGTTAGGTTTGGTATACTTGTCTACAATGCAGCATCAACTCAGACCTGCAGTAGACTTCTACAGCCTTTCTCCATCGAAACACACTTGCTTAACTGATAAAGACACTTTACACAACGAGGTAAAACAATATTCTCTCTCTGTAGGCTTATTTTCAGCCTTAAACCTTAACTGTTAGGGTCTTGAGTGGTAACTCTTCAATGTTACTTCAAGCTGACCCAAACCAATTCTTCACAGCTCTAAATCATCACTGTGCACTTGCTCAGGTGTATAATTAAGTTGTACAAGCAAGATGAAACATTGCAATCTCAGAAACAGTGGTCAAACACACACAACAAACTGTTTTATGCTGAAACTTAAATATCACTGATCTGAAGGGCAGAATAGGTATTTCACCTCAAAACACCTCGAAGTTTAGGTCCACATCTTTGTTTCAATATATTAGACTTGCTTAGATCAACAACCAACAATGTCAGCAAGCCAATTTCAGATAACAGTTCAAAACAGCCTTCAGTTAAACTTCTGCAGAAATGCTGAACTCAGGGACAAATATGGGATTTCACAACAACATAGTCCTGATCTCAGCACTCCCAATCATATTTCAGCTGTATATTTATGCTTAGATGATTATCACAGCAGTAATAGCATAATATAACAATATTGGTTCACATAACAGACTTGTATCAGTTGAAAACCCTAACTAGTGAGGTTTGTAAGACCAAGAACTGACAGTCACTTTTCTGGTCAAGTTTCACTTTGATTAGCCTCAAATCAGTAAATCAAACATGCTCAGATGGTATACCAGATGCTCATAGCATGACATTAGCAATACAAGCTCAGATCAGAAACTTAAACCAGAAAATTTGAACTAGCATGAAGTCTGAAATACAAAAATCTACTGCAGTGAATGTAGTACTCTTGTAATAGCCTAACATGCTAAGGTAATGACTGCAACCCCATTAAAAGTGGAAACCAAACTTCAATAGGGATCAACAAGGTGGCTTTCTTCGCTTTGATTGCTACTCTTGGAAGGGTTTTAACAATGGACAATCTCAGAAGACGGGGCCAGATTGCAATAATACTTAAGGTGGATGATGGTGACCTAGTCAATGATCCAAAGATGTATGGGAGACTTGTAGGTAAACTTATTTACATCACAATCCTCGTCCAGACATCTCCTATGCAGTCAGTGTTGTGAGTCAGTTCATCACCAGTCTCGCGTACCTCACATGGAGGCAGTTGTACACATCTTGAAGTATCTCAAGGGTGCTCTGGGACGTGGTCTGCTTTATCGATCTATTGGACATTTTCGGATTGAGGGATACACAGATGCAGATTGGACCGGTTCTCCTTCTGATCGACTGTCCGCCACGGGTTACTGCACCTTCATAGGAGGAAATCTAGTAACTTGGAGTAAGAAACAGTCAGTTGTGGCTCGTTCTAGTGCTGAAGCAGAGTATCATGCGATGGTGCACACTGCCTGTGAACTTACTTGTTAGATCCCTGGGTATTTTGCCTTCCCCTACTCTGACTATGAGCAACCATGGCTGAGTCGTGGCTCCTATCACCAGTGTCCCTCCCCTTATCATTAGACAAGAGAGTAGACTCAACATCCCCCATCTTCAATGATTCTTTTCCATATTAGATGGTAGTCAAAATATGCTCATACGAATTAGGAAGTGAGGTAAGAAGTAATAGGGCATTGTCTTCTTCCTCAATTTTCATGTAAACTTTTACAAGTTGATTAATGATACCATGAAATACATTCATGTGTTCCAAAATATTTCCACCTTCCTCCATCTTTAGCTTATACAGATCACGCTTCAGATTGAGTTTTGTGGTGAGACTCTTCGCTAAATACAGCTTCTCAAGCTTTTGTCACAATTTCGGTGCCGAATCCTCTCCATTAACATTTCTAATGATATTATCTCCGATACAGAGCCGAATCGTGCTAAGACATTGCAACTCTACATCTTCTCACTCATGATCTGCCATCTTTTCCGGCTTTCCATCATTACCCTTCAAAGCTCGATGTAATCCTTGTTGAACTAGGATGTCCTTCACTCTACTTTGCCAAAGAGCGAAGCTACCCTTGCCATCAAATCTCTCCACCTTAAATTGTGAAACAATATTATCGGCCATGATTGTCACAAGTGCCCAAAACAAGCAACACTAGGGTTATGATAAAAAATCTAGATCAAGAATTTTTTATCAAACAACGTGTGTGTAAGCGTATGGCTCTGATACCAATTTGTTGGGAAATAAAAACAATTACCTACGCAGCAAACACATTAATAAGGGAAACCATAGTTGTTAAAGGCTCAAGGTGCACAAAAGCGCAAATGCCTCCTGGAGCCTGAGGCGCAAGGCGCAAGGCGAGGCGTGCGCCCGACTGAAGCAAGGCGCACGTTGGAAAAAAAAGAAAAACAAAACCCACCCAATAAAGTATTAAGATGCAAATCATGCAATAGTATATAGAAAGATGTAAAAGTCAACTAAATGAATTACGTAAGTTAAATATTCAACATAAAGATGCCAAAACCAAGTAAATCAAGTACTTGAGTTCAAAACAGTGAATAATCAAACATATTAACATAAAGATGCAAAAGTCAACTAAGGAGAAGTATAAGACAAAACTAAAACAAACATAAACATCATTCTTCCTAAGAAGACAACACCAATGAATCTAAATATCATCCTCGTCATCAATAAGCATAACATCATTTTGATCGTCACTAAATGATTCATAATTATCAGGATCCTCTTCTATCTCATCTGAATCATCCTCATCCTCATCCACAAGTCGAACTGAAGAACTTCCTTTTCCCTTTGTTGGTAACCGTGAACTAGAACTAGATTTTGATCTAGTAGACCGTTGCGGCCTACTTGCCTCTCCAATACCAGCAAAATTAGCAACATCACCCTATGTCAAGGAATCATCTTCATAGACTAGATCATGTTCTGCATCAGAATCATCCATCCTCCCCGTCAACCACTCGTTGCTATCATCAATGTCATCAAGTAAAATGGGATCAAGAGTGTCACGCATATTATATCGACGCCTCAATGGTTTATTATATTTGATGAACACTAAATCATTCAAAGTTGTTTGAGCGAGCCTATTTCTTTTCTTGTTATGAAGCTGCAATAAATTCAACTTTAACTAGTAAGTATAAAAAATTAAAATTTTAACTTTCAACAATTAAATATAAACCTAGTTAGTAGATAGTATATACTTACATGCTCAAACACGCTCCAATTTCGTTCACAACCAGAAGAACTGCAAGTAAGGCTTAAAACCTTTATAGCAAACTTTTGGAGAAGTTTTGTTGACTTGCCATAAGCTTCCCACCAATTAGCTATTAAAAAAAAATTAATAATGATGTTTAGCAACTTTAGCTTGATCTTTCTATCGACTCTATTGTCAAAATATATTTTAACACTTAGCTATACTAACTTAATATACTTTAACACTTTACCTGGTCCTCGTGTACTTCTCTGTCTAATAGTAAAGGGATTACCAAAGAGGCCCTCAGCTTTAGAATATAAGGACAGCTCCTCAGTAATTTTGTCTTGGTCTTTGACATCCGGGACTAACCTTGCAATGCATGCATACAAACCCTTTGCAATCTCTTCATCTTCTTCAATTTTCGGATTTAAATAAAAGTATTCTGGGTTCAAATAATAACCTGCTGCATGCAAAGGGCGATGAAGTTGAACATTCCACCTCTTATCAATTATTTCAAAAATATCTGAGTATTTATCTTCTACTCCCCCAAATGATTTTGCAATGGCTTCTTTAGCCCTATCCATAGCCGCATAAATGTATCCCATGGGAGGCTTTCTCTCGCCATCAACTAATCTCAAAACCGGAATAAGAGGACCGGAAACCTTAAGGCTAAAGACAATGTTGTTCCAAAAGGAAGGCATCAAAACATAAGAAGCAACTCTTTTACTGGCTTCCTCTTTCGCCCATTTACTACGATTCCATTCTTCTGAAGTAAACATATTCTTTTGTTTGTGAATACTTGATAATGTGATGAAACATGTAGCAAATCGAGTCTTAGCAGGCCTAAGCAACTCCTTTTTGTGAGTGAAGTTCCTCATAATGTTCAACAACTTTGGTCGCATATAAATATAACTATTCAACTCCACTGCCCTCTGCATTGTTCTAGAGATGGACGGTATTTTCCCAATGTCTTCCAACATCAAGTCTAAGCAATGAGCAGCACATGGGGTCCAATACAAATGTGGGTGTTCTTTCTCTAACATCCTCCCTATTTGAAACCAAACGGAAAAAAGAAAAAATGATATAAAGAGAATGAGTAAATCAAAATTGATTTAAATTATATATTTGTAAAGAATGTAAACTCTAAAAGTTATAAACATTGAACATTCTTACCGGCATACTTATTGCTTGATTCACTATCTGTGACGACTTGGACGACATTTGCTATTCCAATGCGGTTCACAAATTTATTAAGTAAGTCAAACATCTTGTCACCATCCTTTGAAAAAGAAGAAGTATCTATCGACTCAATAAACATGGTTCCCCTTGGACTATTTACTAGGAAATTAAGCAATGTTCTCCCTCTCTTGTCTGTCCACCCATCTGCCATTAATGAGCATCCAAATTTTGACCACTCCTCTCTATGGTCATTCATCAAAGTATTGGTATTATCCAATTCCTTCCTAAGCAAAGGAACTCTCACCTCATGATAACTAGGTGGTTTCATGCCAGGACCATATTGTCCAATTGCTTCAACAACCTCGGCAAAGCTATCATACTTAACAGCATTGAATGCAATTCCTGCATCATACATCCACCTTGCAAAAGCAGCACACGCTCTTCCTCTCAACTCTTTCTTGCATGCATCATTAATGGCTATTTGTTTTCCCCCCTCCTTTCTTTTTTGTACCACAATTTCCGGTCTGGGAGAGAAATATAAACCAATCGGTCCCTTTTGCTTTTGCATCTTTGAGGAATTGACACTAGCACTGCCACTACCTGCACTGGCTACCCTTTTTCCTCGATTGTTAACTTCCATAATGTCATCCTCATCCTCTCCATCAATGAAATTAATTTCATCACTAGGTAACAAATTCATTTGATCTTTTTCTTCCTTTTTCTTACTCATGTACTCTTTGATTTCTTCTCTAACACTAGATGGGCATCTTGGGCATGCACTCACATTTCTATACCCTCCAGCTAAGTGTTGTTTAGCCCGATAAATACCTCCTTTTGTAACTTTTGCACAAAAGTTACAAGTGACGGCATTTGTATCTTTCGGATTCTCCAAATGTGAGTAATTCCATGCCGGATCCTTTCTTGAACCATCACTAGGCATCTTTTAAAGTACAAACTACAATCAAATTCAAGATAACAAAATAATAGCATCATGTAATCAGTGTCTGCAACAACTCTGGCAAATAAATAAATAAATACAGAGCTTCAAAGCAATTAGCAATATTAACATTTCAATTTAAAAAAATAAATACAAAGCTTTGGCAGAATGCAAAAAACAGAATATTATTCTTTAAGGTCTCATTAGAATTTGGTCACTAGCTCAAATTGGATGCATGCTATGATTTTATTATTATTATTAAATGGTAACCTCTGAATGTGCAAATCCGGATATTGAATAATTTATTGACTTTTCATTTATTTTTTTGGGTGGGTAAGGTAATGTATTAAGTATTGACAATATGACAGATTCATTGGCAAGAGCAATCACTTTTGCTTGGGTGCCTTCTTTCCTTTCATTCTCTCTTTGTTCCAAACTTCCATGTTGAGATTGATTGTGCTTGTTGATTCCACAGTTAATCAACACATCTTATGAGTTATGATCACTTTGCATGTATACATTTAAAATTTTTTTAATGAGAATATGATTCCGTATACACCATAATTTACATGTTTCCATTTTCACCGAGCAGCCGAGCTTAAGTATAATTTAGTGAAGAGCAAAAGAATTTGGAGAAAAAGCAGTCCGTGACACATGATTACTGGCCTCACCAAAAATATTAGTTACTTTCTATTCAGCAATTTCAGCTCTTCATGGATTTAACTCAATCATTACCTTAAGAAAGTGGTATATATGCAAAGCACTTTTTTATCTTCGATTCTTCTTTGTACATAATGGTCCTTAATACTTGCCAAAAATTTCGATCCAACAATGTATACCAAGATTTTACAAAATTAGAGTACACTTAACTAATTATTTCATTTTAACAAAATTAGATAAAAATGCATTTCCTCAAACCAACAACATGTTAGAATGGAACAAATACAACTGTTCACACAAATAAATCAGGTTAATATAAAGTACCTCACACAAATAAATAAAAAAATAAAAAGAAGAAGAAAAAAAAAAAAACTAGAGTAAGAAAAAATAATAATAATAATAAAAAGAAGAAAAAAAAAAAAAATCTGCCAGGAGAGAGCCGAGACTCAAGAGAAGAAAAAAAAAAAAAAAAAAAAACAAATCTGCTAGGAGAGAGCCGAGACTCAAGAAAAGAAGAAGAAAAGAAGAATAAAAGAAAAAGAAGAATAAAACTGGAGGAAAAAAAATAAATAATAAAAAAATAAAAAGAAGAAGAAAAATAGAAATAAATGACACAAATATCTAGCAAGAAAGAGCTGAGAGGCCTCAGGGCCCAGACTCGAGAGAAGAAAAGAAGAAGAAGAAAAAAAGAAAAAAAAAAAAATCTGACCGAATCACCGATCTGGCAGATCCGAGAAGAGAAGGAGGAGAGAAGAAGAAGAGAAGGAGAGAAGAAGAAGAACTAACCTGGAGAGAGCCGACACAGATCCGAGAGTCCTGAGTGAGTACTTCGCTGCCTCTGTCAGTCTGTGTTCTTTCCTTTGCTTCTCTTTTTTTTTCGTTTTTTATGTTGCAAACTTGCAATAGGCTTTGGCTTTGAGCTTTCAAGTTTAAAATAATACAATACAAAATACAAATAATATAACAATACAGACTTCAGAGTCACAAACAAAACAAAAAAAAATAAGGAAAAGAAGTTAAAAACAAAAGTTTCATGCGGGCGCGCCTTTCTAGCGCCTGTAGCCTGGCGCCTTGATCCTAAAGGCGCACGCCTTATATAACCCAACTGCCTTGAGTACACTCAAGGCGCTAACCTAGCGCCTGGAGGCGCCTTGCGCCTCAGGCGCGCGCCTCCGGCGCCTTTGACAACTATGGGGGAAACACAACGTGCATTTCACAGAAACAGATTACACGCAGGAGTTATACGTGGTTCACCCAAAAATTAAGGTTACGTCCACAGAGAACAAGATTTTCACTAGATTGTAAAAACCATACAAAATAATTTAGGATTACACAGAGATATCACTCACCACCCTCAACCCTTTTGTACCCCCAATCACTCACAAGGAAAATCTAAAATCTCTCAACCTCAACTTTCTCCACACAACGCGTGTCCTTTTCTATACAATAAAAGTAGTTCTCTTGTATAAGGGGTATAACCCTTTCAAACTAACAATGAAAGTTATCCACGCCTTGGCCAATCAGTTATAATGGGTATAATGTGGGTGGACCCCAACAATCTCCCCCTCCCCCCACGAGGAAGAGAGAAATTACTGGCTCCCCCTTCACAAGTTTCGACGCATGAGACTCCTTCTTGCAAATCCACAAGCAGTCCACTAGCCTTCTGTATACCAGGTACTCATAACCCAAACCAAATTCAAACACCTTGATTCAATAGCCAATGCATACATGTAGTTGAACCAAGTCAACATAATCAAGTGACTTTGAAAGGGTACATTGGAGGGACCCCTTCATAAGCAGGATTTTTCAACTCATTATAGTTTGTCTGGAAACATGTCACATGTTCCCGTTTCTGATCAACAATCAAAGTTCGAGTACCATTGGTACCCCTCACCAAATGATATAAACCACCTTTTTTTTCCTCGCATCAACACAATGCAGCTCTTTGTAATCTTCATGATTCTCCCTGGAACATTTGTAGTTTATGGAATCTAACTAGGTCAAGGATATCAAATTACATCGCAATTTTGGTATTAGGCAACATTCCCCAAACTGCGTTCCACTCCATCAAACATCTTGATTCTTACCATTCCCACAACATTCATAGTACACGTATCACCATCGGGCATAGTCAAAGAACTATTCTCAAGTACTTCTCTTTCACTGAGCAAATATGGTTCGTAATATCCAGTCATGTCGAGTAAGAGCGTTACTTTCCGAAATTTTGAGTACATCTCTAAAGTTTGAAGCATATGTGATAGATGCATCATTTTTGCCGTCATCTACCTTTCCCTTTCCAAGTGAACAATTCTTTATGATGTGGCCACATTCACGGCATCTATGGCACTGCTTGCCCTTTCCTCCCGTTTATATAGACCTGCTGTTGTTAGATCCGTGAGTATTCTATTCTGCCTTACCCTATTCTGACTATGAGCAACCATGGCTGGGTCGTGGCTCCTATCACCAGTGTCCCTCCCTCCTCTTATCATTAGACAAGAAAGTAGACTCAACATCCTTCATCTTCAATGTTTCTTTTCCATATAAGATTGTAGTTAAAATATTCTCATACGAATCCGGAAGTGAGGTAAGAAGTAATAGCAGCTCGTCTTCTTCCTCAATTTTCACGTCAACTTTCGCCAGTTGATCAATGAAACCATGAAATACATTCATGTGTTCCAAAGATATCCACCTTCCTCCATCTTTAGCTTATACAAATCACGCTTCAGATTGAGTTTTGTGGTGAGACTCTTCCCTAAATACAGCTTCTCAAGCTTCTCCCACAATTTCGGTGCCAAATCCTCTCCATTAACATTGTTAATGATATTATCTCCGATACAGAGCCGAATCATGCTAAGACATCGCAACTCTACATCTTCCCACTCATGATCTGCTATCTTTTCTGGATTTCCGTCCTTTCTCTTCAAAGCTTGATGTAAGCCTTGTTGAACTAAGACGTCTTTCACTCTACTTTGCCAAAGAGTGAAGCTACCCTTGCCATCAAATCTCTCCACCTTAAATTGTGAAACAATATTGCCGGCTATGATTGTCACAGTGCCCAAAACACATGACACCGGGGTTATGATAAAAAATCTAGATCAAGAATTTTTTATCAAATAACATGTGTGTAAGCTTTGGTTCTGATACCAATTTGTTAAGAAATAAAAACAATTACCCATGCAGCAAACACATCAATAAGGGGAAACACAATGTGCAATTCACAGAAATAGATCACGCGCAGGAGTTATATGTGGTTCACCCAAAAATTAGGGTTACGTCCACAAAGAACAAGATTTTCACTAGATTGTAAAAACCGTACAAAATAATTCATGATTACATAGAGATATCTCTCACCCCCTCAACCCTTTTGTACCCCAAATCACTCACAAGGAAATTCTAAAAACCTCAACCTTCTCCACACAACGTGTGTCCTTTTATATAGAATAAAAATAGTTCTCTTGTATTAGGGTTATAACCCTTTCAAACAAATAATGAAAGTTATCCACCGCCTTGGGCCCATAAGTTAAAATGGGCATAACGTGGGTGGACCCCAACAGTTTTCTACTCCACCATCCCCTTGGTTTACTTATTTATTTTGCTTATTCTCAATTTGCCGTGTCAAACAATGTGGGGAATATTTTAAAATTATTCTTATTTGGGTAACTATTAATGATTTAGTTATTTCGTTTTCGTTTTTCTTTCAACTAAAGTTGTTTTTATTGTTAATGCCTTAAAAAAAAAAAATTTGATATGTTAATGCCTTCAATTTTGAGAGATTGATGTAGCTGGGAACTAGTTTAATTATGTCTAAGAACTGTTAAAGAATTCTAATTTAGACTTTTGGGAACTCTTGCTATGTCATCTTCATAGTATGGTTGCATAGTTTCAAGTATTTATATATGTACGCATCTATTACCATAATAATTGATAAATTTAATTAGATGTTTTAAACAATTTAAAAGGATAATGCATTCAAAATTATCAATTATCCACAATCAGATCAACATGATTCCTTAATAAATCAAATAGAATGAGAAAATATTGTTTATAGCATAGTATTAGATGGGAAGTTATATTAGTCATAGTAGTTTTTATTCTTCAATGAAGAAATTTATTGTACAAGGTTTCCTTTTTACCTGAAACACTTACAAAAAGGAACAGGGAAACAATAGAAGTATAGGTCTGAAGGTATGTTTAGACGTTCTCAGTTTTATTATTATTATTATTAGTGTTGTTGTTATTTATATCTTTGGATACTGAGCCTCAGGTCAAGTGGTATCACCACCTTCTGGAAGGACGGAGGTTGAGGGTTCAAGTTATGAACAGTGATTGTATGAGTACCTTACCAGCTTCCCAACCCCATCACTACCAACCAAAAAAAAATAAGGAAAAAAAAAAAAGAAAACCAAAATTTGATTTGGCTATTTATTGTTTGCAGGAGTCAATAGAAATAACTCGAAGCTTCTGGGGGGAATTTCGCACCAGATCGAGTTCCTACTCACATTTGGCTGGAAGCTACCCTTCATCTTCATTTGCATCTGGGCCATCAAGAAGGGTAAAAACCTAATTTTGGAGGCTACGGCGGTGAGAGATTTTGGGAGAACTAATTATATTTCCCTTCTTGGACTCCCTAAAACAACATCTCGTGGTGGTCTATATTGTAAGAGAACAAAGAAAAATATTTTGTGTGCTGAAAGTGATTAGCTCCTCTATGTTCTTGTGTATGTTTCCTTTTTGAAGTTTTTGCTTGCATTTACTAAATTTTCTCTCCGATCTGGGGACAGATACCCTTGAATTTGAACTTGTCATAAATCAATACACCACAATAGCTATTTTTTGTTTACCAAGCGACCCAAACATATTCATGATTGTCCATGCATTTTTCAAACTCTTTACTTCCGTTATATTGGCAGAGTTTCTTTTGGCCGGCCTTTTACAATTTTACCCCATACAAGTATTTGTGTTCTACTACTTTCTGTACTTTGTTCTTTTCTTTCTTTATATTAGGATCTTATTATGTTTTGTTTGCTCATGAACCTGACTATACACACTTGCTAGTGCCATTCTTAGGTTAAATTCAGCTCTCTTGACTAATTAAAACCCTCAGAAAATGAACTTTATTTGGTTTCTTGAGAGTTCTTCATTATGCTTCACTTTTCAGCCCTTGAGATTTTTCATAGAGGCAGTTTTCAAGCAGGCTATAACAACCTCTTTATAGTCCTCAATGAAAACCCTAGTGTGGATAAGACCCTATCACCATTAGCCAATGAAGTGTGAATATAGCTCTCTCCGCAGGACCACAGTACACATGGCAATGGTATATTCATGCAGCACATTTGTACATCTGTAGAGTATCTCACATTGTCTCAGCAATATGGATTGACCAAGATACCCTCGAGAATATTGACAGAATTACTGAAATGCCCTTGTAGTGGACATATGTTACTCAGACTAGAAAGCTTACTACAGTGGAGTATATATAGGTAATTCAGCTCTGAAAATAAAACCTATGGTGCAATGTAGTATCTTCAACAGGTGTACATAGTTTACTACACCCTAGTAAAATACTAGAATGCCCCTGTAACTGTGTGGAACAAAACCATGGATAATGAACCTGTGAAATGACCTTGACAGCACAGTGAATCTTCTTGATTGATAATATCTCACGTTATATTTAACATTGAAATAGCAAACTAGATATCAATGACAATTGATATCAACAATCTCCCCTTCTTGCTTTCAATGTTAAAAACCAATCTCATTCACTTCTCCCCCTTTTTGACATTGGAAGTCAAAAGGTAGATTGAACGCGAGCAACTTTTCAATTGGAAAGTATCAGAGCAAGATAAGGTACAAACTTTGAAGTGAGAGAAGGAGCTGCCAAAATGATCATCATACCTGAAGGATTAATTTGCAGATCTTTGTCTCTGAGTGGAGGAGGTCTAAGATTATCAACCCTTGAGTTTGGTGAATATAGAGAGAGATGTTTGAAAGCTTTGACTGACACAGGCGTTGGTTGTCTGCAGCTCCAACTGAGTATATTTTTTGAAGAGACACAATGGATTGATTGTGCTTCCACATTGATCACCATACCTGCAGTATTAGTTTGCAAGTTCTTGTTTCTTAGTGGAGGAGGTCTTGAAGTTATTTGCCCATTTTCAGAGATAATGAATACATTTCTTGAAGGACCTGTAGATGTGAGGAAAATCTTTTCTGAAGCTTGATCAATGACATCATCTTGAATGTAGTCAACTTTCTCTAGTAAACTTCTTGCTTTAGCTAGAAGACCCTTTGCTTTGAAGTAGTAAACAGATTTTGATTTAGTCTCTGAGGTTAACTCCTTTGGTTTACTGAAGAGGTTAGTGAAAGAGGGACTGTGAACCTCTATGTATTCAATATCTGGAGGTTTTCTACCTTCTTCAATGTGAACCTGTTTTGACACTTTCATATCCCCTTTCAGAGATCTGTGTGTTCTCCTTAGAGGCTTATCAACTGACTTGATGAGTTTGACGACATTTGGAGGATCTTTATGAACAATGATAGCATCTTCTTGATTGGCAATTGAATGAGTCTGTTTTAAACATCTTGTGACAGAACTAGTGTGAAAACTATCAGTTTCCAGAGTCAATTTAGGAACACTCTTCCAACTTTCTTCAGATGAATAAGAAGTGGGACACCACAGATTTATAATTCACTATTAACCCATCTTAACCCATCATTGACCCTTGAATTGTATGGGTACTCACTTTTTACCCACTATTGACCCACTCACTTAAATTTGGGTGTCCAAATAATTTAATTTTAGTGGCGGGTTTGGGCGGTTTAATAGGTTTGGACATAAATTGCCACCCCCAATATATTTATAGGAGACTTTTGATAAAACTCTAAGGTACTTTGCTTGTTTCGTGTAACTAAATAATGCCAAGTTGCTAACACTCCATATCTATTTCTATGTATATATATTTATATATGAGGATACCAAAACGACCCGGGTTTGGAGTGATCCACATTGCATAGGATGGGTCGGGTGTGGACGAACGGGATGAAGCCAGTTAGCGCCGTATGGGCCCAGGTCCATAAAGCCATTTCAGAAGCCCATGATGAAATGAGAGAAATCGAGTCCAGCCAAAGGAGAATAAGATAAGATCAGCTCAGTGGAGGTTGTAACCGTCTATAAATAGAAGGGATTGGGAGGGAAAAGCAGTTGAAAACATCATTGGGAGTGTAAAGTTTCTCTCTCTACAATTAGGGAAAAATTCTTTGTATTTTCAATTGGCGCCGTCTGTGGGAATAACAGGAAGGATTGATTGATATCACTCTAGATCGGATAGATTCAACGCATTCTGCGAGGAAGACGACTACTCTGCGAAAGTTGAATCAACATTGATGATAGTACGATTTGTCTTGACAAGTCCAAATCCGGTTGATTTCGGAAAATTGGCGTCTGATCCAAGCAGATCAGATCCGTGCTTGATCCGGCGAACTACGCGGTTGTGATCTGTTGTGGTTACTGAATCCAGCCAGTAGTGGACTGAATTCGGCAAACATAAGTTCAGATCTGGTGTGCGCGCGTTAGCGGAACTCCGATCTGGTCAAGAAGCCTGCAGTTGATGACTTTGCTCCGATCTGGAATGATGATCCGAGAGGCAAACTCTAATTCTTTGGAGAACGGCCAGCAGACAAAGCTTGATGAGTTAATGAACATGATCGATGCTTTGAGGAAGGAAAATGCAGAGCTACGAGCTGGAATGGAGCATCGTGAGGCTCTTGCAATTCCGAGGCCGCCTCCTGAAGGAGAGGGAGCTTTACCGTCCGAAGCTGATCTTCAAGGTGATCCAGAAGATGTCAATCATGATGGTCCACATCGTGATGAAGGTATAACCGGTAATCTGCCTCCGAATGCCGGACGAGTAGAGGATCGAGAAGGATCTGTTCGCCTGGAACCGCATCACAAACGGATTATGAGGGAGGAAGCACCGGTATATGAACATAGGATTGCGTCACCATAGCGGAGTGAATTTACGGAGGATAGGTCGTTCGATCCGCCATACCGACCTTCATTAGCGACAGTTGATTACCGTAGCTTAGAAAGGAGATCTACCGATCGAGGATTTTTGTCACGGTTTTCAAGAGAAAACAGAGCATTGCGTGCCTCAGCAAGGACGGTCGCATCACCGTTCACTGATGAAATTATGAACGCGCCAAATCCGAAGAAGTTTTCCATGCCGATCTTCATTCTGTTTAACGGGACAACGGATCCGGTCGATCACATATACCATATTCAGTTGAAAATGGCTTTGAATACTAATAATGATCCTTTGATGTGCAAGTGTTTCCCTACGAGCCTGGCTGGACCAGCTCTCAATTGGTTCAAGAATCTGGCTCAAGGCTCAATCGCCAGTTTCCAGGACTTATGTGATAAGTTCATAAGCCAGTATTACGGGAATAAGCGTCCGGCTAAGGATGTATCGAGCCTTTTTACAATGAAGCAGCATAAGGATGAGCGGCTCCAAGCTTTTCTCACCCGGTTCAACCTCGTTAAAAGCATGGTAATGGAGTGTCACCCGTCAACAGCAGTCCAAGCATTTAAACTCGCAATGAACCGGGGGACGCCGTTCCACACCAGCTTGGTGGTTAATACGCCAAAGACAATGGACGAGCTGAATGAGAGAGCTGACGGTTTTGTTCGCCTTGAGGAGGAAGAAGCAGCTAATTCAAGGAAGACGTCAATTATTTCGACGGAGGAGAAGTCCAAAGCCAAGATCCGGCAAAAACAAGCTCAACCGCAATGTCACCCCTCATGGAAGGCGGAGAAGAGGCCTAGGGAGGAGGAATCAGTCACTCCACTCAGAGTCACCTTAGCAAGGCTATACCAGGAGAACAAAGATAAGTTTCGTCCTCCTCTGCCAATCAGCCAACCTCTTGAACAGAGGGATCAGACTAAACATTGTGCTTTCCATAGTAATTTTGGGCATCAGACTAACGAATGCAGGAACCTGAGGAGGCAGGTAGAGATGCTGATCGCAAAGGGGGAGTTTGCAAGCTATGTTCAGGGTCCGGCGCAAGAGTATAACCGCCCGCCTGAACAAATTAAGCAAAACCAGAGGCCGAACCAACACAACTCCCAGCCCGTCCGGATTATAAATGCAATTCATGGCCGGCCTGAACAAACGACGGAGTCAGAGGAGTTGCTCAGGACGAGGTTATGCCAGGCCCAGCTGAAAAGAAGGATTGGTAGTGTGCGCGCTTTGCACCAGCAGAACACGTCCACGTCGATAAAGTTTGATAAAATGGACCTGCTACGCGTTCAGATTCCTCATAAAGATCCATTAGTCGTCAGTCTGACGATTGCAGAATGCCTGGTTCGGAGAGTCCTGATTGATCCAGGAAGTAGTGCGAATATCATGCCCAGGGTGACGTTCGACCGACTGGAGATCGAACCCGAAAAACTCAAACCCACAGGGAATCCGTTGCTCGGATTTGATGGGAAGCGAGTGGAACCCATTGGAATGGTGGAATTGACAGTACAAGCCGTTGAGCGGGTTTTGACTGAAAGTTTCGTGGTAGTGGAAATTTATCCATCATACAACCTCTTGATGGGCAGAGGATGGATTCACAGAATTCAGGGCGTTCCGTCAACCTTACATCAAGTGATGCGATGTTTGGGTCCGGATGGGACCAAGGTGATAGATATACACGGGGATCGAGTTGCGGCTAAAGAATGTTATTCAGTAACTTTGAAATCTGCTGGAAAAGGGAAAAATCCCATCTGTTCTGCCATTCCAAAATAGCAATTACAGAACCCTTCTCCCAGCAAGGATGGGGGGGAGGAGCCACCAGTTCTGACCACAGAACCCCTTAATGAAATAAAGATTGATCATGAGAAACCAGACCGAACAACAAGGGTAGGCACCAAGCTCACTGAAGAAGAGAGATTAGAGTTGACTAATTTCCTGATTCAGAATGCGGATGTATTTGCATGGAGCCATTCAAAT